AAAGAGATCGTGAGGCTACTAGTTGATAAGGAAGCGATCACACATGAGCGCGACGCAGAAACTCTCGATTGATATCACACCTACTATGCGTTTGAATTTTATTCCTCAATTAATTATAAACGTCTTGGTAGCTCTTATAGTTGAATAACTTACATTAAAATCTGCCCGGGAACAGCTGTATAATAGGTATATCTATAAGTCGTAGAGACTCTTTCTCGCCTTATATTTCCTTCGAAATTTTATCAGGGATGTTCAATCCGCCTGTCAAAAGATAAGCCTCAACTACAAGCTGGTACTCGATGTTATCCTAATCGTTGCCCGCTGCCATTCCATCACTTCTGGGGTCTACCCACGCCATATTGGTTTTGGTATTCTCTATTCCATTTCGCTTCTAATCATCTAGCTGGTGCTTGGTGTACGGAGTGGTTGCGAGGAACTTGGAAGTATGGGGGCGAGATGACTTGAGTTAGTTTTTGGGCTGGTAACTTAACGTCCGTCCCTGCGTAACGAAAAACCCGCCATGCCGAAAAGGATTCAACAAATAGTCAGACCAGGTGTTCTTATTTAGCGGAGTTAGAATATAACTTAGATAGTTTAGTAGAATAGTAGCTCTGCATATACCGTAAGGGTTGACGTTGATGTTACAAGGCATATCGGTACCCTGACTATGCTGCTTCGAGCTTTAGCCTACTTAGAGCAAGAGCAGACTGTGCTGCTTTAGGATTTAGCACAGACATAGAAAAGGAAAAGGCTTAAGTAGAGGCAGAGCCTAGTAGTGTTCAGGGTTTGAAAGACGAATTCATTAATTAGTTACATGTTGGCACTAAAAGATAGAATGGCGTCAAGACCGTCGCTCGCACAGCAGTCTACTATTATTCACTATGCTCCGCCTCTTGTGTATGCTCTCTCAGGCCTGTTATCATCGAGGTGATCGTCGGCATCTCTGTCCTCTTCCCAACACCTCAACCACGTCCCCAGCCTCTTCGGAGGTCCCGGATGGAGAGGGTTAGCCGCGTGAAAATCACAGAGTTTGTACGGGCTATTCTTGAAGTTGGCTGCATCATACCACACCGGATCGTCCTCATATCCAAGCCATTTGACACGATACTGTAGCCTCTTGCGGTTGACACGGGCGTCGAGAATATTCTCCACCTCGTATTCGTCGTCTTCGTCCGCGTTACCACGCTTACGCTTCCGCTTATGTTTGCAAGAGTTGCTTGCAAGCTGGCGCGCGCTGCAATTATCGGTGGTGTCGCCGCTACTGGCATCGCTGTCGCTGTCGAGAGTATCGGCCCGGTAACTACTGTACTGCGCTGCTGAAACAGGTCCGATAACCCAAACAAGTAAGAGCCCATCTATTATAAGACTACTTATCTAGATTCATTAATTCTCTCTTGTAGGCCAAAACATCCATTATATGAGCAATTAGAACCTACACCTCCTTTATATGCCCAACCGTTAATCTTTTACATCCCTATCATCTTGTCCAGAAACGCGTTCAAGAAATACAAGACAATAGTCTCCGTTCTCGACGCCCGGCCGCCTGAGAACGAGAGATATCAAATACTGGATTGGGAAGATGATGCACTCAAAATTCCGGTCTTCCCAGTACTGACAGGCGCCAGCTCTGCTATGAAAAGTAGAACTCCTTCATCTTGGGGTACAGATTTCAAAGACTGGGTTAGCAGAGCTGGATTCCAAGCAGGCACTCTGCATAGCCTGAGGAGGGAAGCGCTTATCAAAGCTGATAGTTGGTTAAATTGATACAATTTGCAGCGGCAATTACTAAATGTCAGGCAGATCAGTACTCCCTTAGTCAGGTAATGAAGTTTGCCTCGCACAAATCCTCTAATACCCTTGGCCGACATTACCTTGACTCTATGAGCAACGTAGATGGAGCCGCAACATACCTTGACCTGCAAGCAAGGCACGATGTCACCAAAGACTTTAGATCCGCTACTATGCAGAGAAAGTATAGATTACCATTGTCACTACCCAAAAGCAAGCAGAACGACTTAGAATCTCGCTCTGACTACCAAGCACTCACGGAAAAGTCCCAAGCTCTTGTGGTAGAGATTGAGAAAGCAGAGAATGACGACAAACGGCGAGAGTTGAAGAGGCAGCAAGAAGAATTGGACTTCCAGAAACGTAAACTACGTGATCAGGAATTAAAGGATTATCAATCAAACTACAAGGAAACGTGATCAGGAATTAAAGGATTATCAATCAAACTACAAGGAATCCTCGCAAGGACAGCAGAACCTAGCCGACCAGCGTCGTGACTACTTCCAGCATGTTGTTCGTCATATGGTTCCAGTGCCAGCCCGTCTCAGTGAGAACCTTCTAAAGTGCGAAAAACTTCGGAGCGAGGTCAGAAGATCAGTGATAGAGGATCTCCTGTATCTACTTACAAATGACTCTCCGGTCGCTTACCAGGAGTCCTTACGCCCTATCAACGGCCGTTGTAGGGTCGAATCTTGTAGAGCAGAAATAGATAGGTTAGAAAAATTGCGCACTGTTACGCATCTCAGCTAATCGTATATTAGTATTCCTATCTCTGGCCGATGGCGTCACGCATACGACTGTTGCAAAGCTGACCATGAGCGTTTGTCCGGGTGCATGATTCGTTACTGCTTCATATGTAACTCTTGGGAGCAGGGCGAAAGTGAATGGGAGGATCATTGTGTAGTTCACATCAAGAACGGAGACATACCGGTTCGCTGTGATCCTATTACATATCGTCATGGCCTCGCTCGTGCTGGTCACTGCCAAGTTTGTCTACATGATGAGAGGCTTCCTGCTTCAGATAGGCTGCATCCATATATGCATTTATCTGATTGGAAGCGTCACGAGAAGACTTGCATGAATGCGTATTTGCGAAATTGCAATCGAGACCAACTCTTCTGTCCAGATCCACGCTGTAAAGCCCAGGGCCCCTTTCCTTCGACCACGGCTTTGTACGAGCACCAGGAGGATAATCATAGCTGTCATCAAAGACAACTTGGTCGGCGAAAACGGCCTCAATCGGACAGTAGTGAAACCGAAGCACAAAGCAATACACTACTTCCAAAACGGCGAAAGCAGACGCACAAGTTCATTAACTATAATCTCCCAGAAGTTAAGCGCAAGAGATCGAAAAGACAGCCTGCCGCGGCTCAGAATTCAGACTCTGATAACTCGGATCCAGGGTTGTGCAGCAGCCTCAGTACGGATGAGGATTATTGCCAGAGTCTCAATATCGACACTGACTCTCCTGACTCCCCTGATAGCCTACTAGGACAACCATATGCTGAAGAGCATACTTCAGAGCCGGGAGTGTTTAACAACGACAGAGGGACCGCAGTTATGGAGGATGTTATGCTACCTATACGAGACGTTACTGAGAACGGGGTAGTGCATCAGACACTTACACCTCAAGGGCGTACGAAAATGGACAATCTGACAGATAGTTGGACAAAACCTTCTACCGAAACCTGGATGAACAGTCTAGTAGATATTTGTAATTTAACGGACACATAGACGAACGCCCCCGTGGACACTCTAACCGATGCTTCGACCGACATTCTAACCGATGCTTCAACGGACATTCTGACCGATGCTTCGACTGATACCCTGAGGAGTACTGAGAGGAGCACTCTGAACAAAAGTGAGGTAGACACCGCACTCGGCGAGAAGGAATACCTTCCAATTCAAATGCCAAACACGCAAAGGGATAGACTTTGCAAAGAAACGCAAAGTACAACAACAATAGAGGACTTAGTCCCGCTATCTGATCAAGTTCCAAATCTACAACCAACACGGCTTGCCCAAGACAATCACTGCGTATCAGAAGAACGATACACTCCACGTGGAAATATTTTGGAAGAAGTTCTCCTTCACGAGGGCCTATGTCGCGAATACATCACGGAAGAAAATAATGTTGGGGTTTCCAACAAACAGGTCTTAAATTCAGTCATAAACGAGGAGGAATATGAGATTGAATGTTGCCTAGCATCGCGGATATACAACCAGCAACTTCAATATCGTGTCAGTTGGGTTGGTTACGAAGAGGATCTTGATTGGTATAATGCTGTTAACCTGAAAGGGGCTCCAGAAGCTATCGAGGATTTCCATAAACAGAATCCCCACGCTTCAGGACCTCCTAAACGGCTTTCTCATTGGCTCGATTGTTGGAAAGTTGGTAGGGAAGCAGGGGATCACGAAGACGATAATATCCCGGAGAAGGTAGGGAAAAGAGGCCGCCGGCCAAGGCCCGCGCTCAATTATAGCGCCCCTAGCTAGTCTATAAAGCATACAAAACATCCTGCGTTTATAAATAAATTCTCTCACCTCATGTTTGCGAATCAATAAGTAACATACACGCACACATTAAACTTCAGGATAAAGTTTGCGATGCGGGCAAGTAACCTTGAAAGACAGAAATGGAGGAGCAGGTGCCGAGAAGATTTGTCACGCTATATCCGTAAATATCCTCTACGCGTAATAGAAGCTGTCGGTACTAAGATAGGTAGAAACTCAACTTGGTATTACTGTTGAGCCAGCACAAGTTCGTCTTCTTCCACGCTTAGATGACCCCTACCGCTGGCGCGCGGTGCCTGAGAAGCAACATTTGTTCTCTAAGAATCTTAGTGATCATTCGATCGGGGCATACAAATCTCTCTGTGACGGCATAGGGAAGACCTTCGAGGCTGTTTGTTGTGACGAATGGAGTACTATGCGCAATGGAGATGATATAGAAGCAGTTTTGGGAACGTCTATGTTATCAACGGAAGCAGACATCGGCTTTACTGGCAAGATATCGTGACTCTAAACAGAAAATTCTGGCCTAAAGGCAGAACTTGAAACGTATAAAATTAGTCTGTGTATAGAGCAGCAGAAGCGATTAGATTTAGAAAACACTGTTAACTGTTTACAGCTAGAAATTGCGCAGACTCAAGCATATCTAGAAGAAAGTTTGAAGGCTGCTGAAGGCTATGTAACAGTGCGTCACCGTCATTTAGATGCCTTGCATCGAGTGCTCCCCATACTTGAAGAGTTGAGGCAGGACATCTCCAATACTTCCCTACAATACCAATCACTGCCAACGTCTTGCTAGAGTAAACGCGATCAAACAAGACACTTCTGCCCTGAATGAGCCCAAGCCTGATAAGCAACTTCTCGAAAGGCTAAAAGCTAGTAAGCGCTGCTCAGACTCTTCTCCAGGGCCATAATTGTCGAAGCTACACTTGCAGGCTTGATCACAAAAAGATTCTGTGTATCTACCCTCGACCTAAGGCAAACTCCATTAGTTTCGTTACAATCTACTTTTAAAATCACGCTATTCCCTTATAGCCTAATCAACCGTTCACCAAAGGTCCATACTGTAATTGGGTCGTCCTTGAACTTAGGTAAAGCAAACTCTCTCAAAATGAAGTCATTCCAGAGCGCGGTACCAATAGCCAGGCAGACGGCGCGCTAAGTCCGGCTTCGACGAGACAAAGTACGCGCGGCGATGCTTCTAGAATGTCTGCGAACGCTCACCATTGAGATCCGTTTCTCGCCTCAGCGTCCATGCTGAAGGCTCTTTTCCAGCGTATCAATGTGCTCGTAGTCTATGTAAGCTTATACGACGTTGGTAAATTTGATTTTCCGGAAACGGTTCTCGGTCTTTGTGTAGAGCGGCGACAATAACTCGAGTTTGATTGCTTCATTGGCAGGCTTGGCAGACAGTCGACACACCGCTGGAATTTTGTTCCGCGCTACCCTACATCATTCCTGTATAATTTAGGCTAACTGGCCCCAGAGGCTTGTTGTTTCCGTTCAATCACGATACTTTCCCTGTCAACTTCCAGGCTTGATTGCTTAGTACTGAATTCGTCGAAAAGGGCATGCTCGTTGATCGGCCTATTGCTGGAATAGTGCTAATGTCCGTCCCTGCGTAACGAAAAAGCCGCCATGCCGAAAAGGATTCTACAAATAGTCAGACTGGATCCTCCAATTCAGTGGACTTAGGGTAAGTTGAGTTTCAAGGTGTCGACCAAGTACGTCTGCTTCTACAGCCAGTAGAAACATAGAAAATTACATGAATTATCACCATGCTGTCGATCTTTTCGTCATATACCTATACAGCTTTGCCCCTTCCAAAGCCATATAACAATGTATGCGTCTATCATTCATGCCTATCGGTGCAGCTAAGATACTCTTCCACTATCTGTAAAAGCCTTCCGTGCAATTAAAAGATGATCTATACTACAGGAATGTAGTCCGGATTTATCCAGCTGGAGAGACCCTGAACAGCTCTTGGCAGGCGACTTGACACTCGACCTACAAGGCTTAGCGCATGCCGTCTAAGTAATGTATCTCTCCAGCCACTTGCGCGTGACTTTCCTCAATCTAAACCCACGTGATTGCTAATTCAGGTTAAGCGTCATCTGGCTATCGTCGACAGCTGGCTTCTGCCTATCGTGTTCCGGAAGGGAGAGGTTAATCGCTTCGGGCCGGGATGACTGCACTACCGAGATGAGCGAGCAGTACTTGGATTTCAAGCACCTGTACATCACCGCATACTTTGAGCTTCAGTACGAATACATACAGGTCGTATGCTATGGCTATCTCACATATTCATGACCCCTCACACCTAAAAGTTACATTCACGTCGCTATCCTTATGTCCGCCATGGCGCTGATTTTCGTGCAGGGTTGCCACGCGGGTTTCCAATGAAAGAACATCAAGCATCGAAGAAATCAGGTTTCATAATATGCAAAAGCCATAGTAGAGAATCACTGCTTATTCTAGAGAGTACTGAGTGAAGTTGATCACCACCTGCTCGTAGTCCCCCTTCTGAAGCTGCCTGGAATGCGTCGTAGAATCCACCCTGGGCGTTTGGGTCGGCATCTTTGTCGAGCAGCATCTTTACTACCTGCTCGTAGCCTCTGGATGAAGCCGCCTATAGTGCGTTGCCGTACCTTCCACCCTGCGCATTCGGTTCGGCGTCTTTGTCAAGCAGCAGCTTCACCACCTGTTCGTGGCCTCCGGATGAAGCCGCCTGGAGTGCATTGCCGTACCTTCCACCCTGCGCGTTCGGGTCGGCGTCCTTGTCAAGCAGCAGCTTCACCACCTGCTCGTAGCCTCCGGATGAAGCCGCCTGGAGTGCATTGCCGTAGTATCCACCCTGCGCGTTCGGGTCGGCGTCCTTGTCAAGCAGCATCTTTACCACCTGTTCGTGGCCTCCAGATGAAGCCGCCTGGAGTGCGTTGCCGTACTCTCCACCCTGCGCGTTCGGGTCAGCGCCGTTGTCGAGCAGCAACTTTACTACTGACTCGAAGCCTCCATATGAAGCCTGGTAGAGTCCGTTGCCGTGCCTTCGATCAAATCCGTCGTTCCTTTGACCCTGTGCGTTCAGGTCGGCGCCATTGTCGAGCAGAAGGCCAGTAATCTCGACATGCCCATGTTTCCCGGCAACCGCTAATGGAGCGTCACCCCAGCTATTCTTTGCATTAACGAGCTTAGTGGCTTCTTGTCCTAATGCAAGCAACAGCTCCTGCGTGATGCTAGATAATCCAAATTGTGCCGTATAGTGCAAGCCTGTAATTGTAGGATAGTCCTGGCTATATCTTGAGGATTTCCATGATTCTGGACATAGTAGCACCTGTGCGGCGCATGCAAGTAATCCAGGGTCTAGAAGAAAAGAACAGGCAAGTTTGCACACTTCAGCTTCAACTGCTCTTACGTGGTCGCCCCCATACTTCGCTGCATAGTCCAAGAACTTATGGTTAGCAAGCCTATGTTCAAATTCGACATTTGTACGACAGTTCCCGCTCCTGAAAGCGTCGAAAGACAGATAAGTGAGGCATGTGGTAGCAATATGCTGTCGTGCTGCTGGATTCCATGTATCTATGATTCGTTCGAAATAATCCTGTGTAGTGTAGTGTACGAGACGGATGATAGAACTCTCGCGATCGACAACAACGAGACCAGCACACACAGATACCAAGTCCTCGACGTCGCATATGCCCTCTAGGTCAAGCTCTGTTTCCTCAGGTTCGATTGCTAAAGCGCAGCATATCTCAGCTGTAGTAAGCGGTCTTTTCGCGAATATGATCCATTATAGAACTTTCTTGGCTCGTTCCCGGTCACCGTCTAGTTGCCCTTCGATTCTAGCCAATGCATCTTTGTAGGCATTGTCGAGTGCATCTGAGCCTTTCGAAAGCTTAGCTAGAGTTGTTTTAACCTCTTTCGTCGTTCTCTTGTCTAACAGTGAATCTGTGTGCAGTCGAGCAAGAAGGAACCTAGCAGTTGATCAGACTGCCTGGCCTTATACAATTAAACAAGAGACATACATGCCGTCTACCGCCTTCACGATCTTGGTTTGCACCATGCCTTGCAGCTCATCGCTGCGTTGGATGCATTTAGGGAGTCGATATATCTGTCCTACCACGAAACGCTTCACGTCTTCTTGACTAGCCTCGATCTCCAACTTGATCGCCTCTTTAAATCCATCTTCAATCTCCGGTATGAACCGCGAGGTGGCCATGAGGCGAATGTCTCGTCTTGCTTGTAGGGCTCGGAGTCGGGTGAGAAACGTACGACGCGTGCCATCACTGTCTCGACATTCGTCCAGGGCGTCCATCACAATATAGGCTGTAGAGTAACGCTCAATCACATCTTGAAGAGCGCTGCAGATTTCGTCAAGCGACGGCCTAGTCCCCTTGTTAGCATGCTGCTTGTGTAACCGTTCCACAGGATCCAAAGTCGACGGATGTGCCTGCACCAGCTGCTTTAGAATGGCCGCCAGCATACTAACAGCATCCTGCTCCTCTTGAGATTTGTAATTGCAGTACACATAAGCAAGTCCATGCGAGCTGTTCTGCGCGGATTTTGACAGGTGATCAATCGCGATGGCAGCTATCATGGTCTTGCCTGCTCCTGGAATACCTGGGCAGAAGAGGGTTCCCTTGGCTTCCTTGAGCCATCTTGCCGTCTCAGGCGCGTCCAAAAACCACTGGCCTGTTCCTTCTTGTCTGCGCTTTATGATGTCGGATTGTTGAGCTGGGTAATCCGAGGGGGATACCCATTCCAACAGCTGATGGTACTTCGTGAAATCCTGATCTTGCTGTATTTTCTCCACTCCAGACTTTATACCAAGCGCCTGGGCCCGAACGAAGTCGGTGTCACTTTTGATGGCTTTCGAGAGTTCACTGGTGTATATTAACGACGCAATTTGGCAGCGGTGGTGGCAGAAACCTACAAGTGGTCCATTTGTAACGCGGTCCCCACAAGCGACTTCAGACGCTCCATCCGATTCAAGATACTTGCAATTTCTTCTTTCTTAAACTTCCACATCAGCGCTTCACCTGCCCTTCCTAATCGGCCACTGTCTGTCATCTTGTTCTGCAACGTTTCAAGCGCTTCCTTGAACTGATCGAGCGGCCCATGTTCAACTGTAAGGGCTCGAAGGGCAGTAAACCATGACTTGTCAGGATCCCCCGTCTCAAGCCGAGCCCTAAGGTTGAAAAGTAGGTTGTACAGATTTGAGATCTCGACAGCGCACTGTGTGCGGTCTTTTGAAGCATCTTTGACGTCGTTCAAGTACACGAGAACTTTGGTTGAGAGCTGGAGGATAGCGATGATGCTGGCTGTCACACTAAGCGGATCCATCCGGGAACAACACAGTCCAGACGATAGCCGTATGGAAGAGTAGTGGAGGGTAATAGCGACATAATGCAGGCAGAAGGGCTAATGAATGGCAATCAGGCTGAGGCTGAGCAGGTGCAGATGAGCTGCATCGACTTACGCCGCATCGTATCGATAAGACTAGGCCGAGCTTCTGTGCGCTACGCCGAACCAAAGCGCATTTGCCATTTGTCCCAAGAGTGGAATAGTTCTAGAAACTTCTACGTTCCGTAGACCGGCTAGGCAAATATGGTTAAGTTACTCCCGTTATTTCTGTTTGTTTGCAACTTCTTGGTTAGCTAACGCGTTTCAGCGTCGACATAATCACCGACAACTTTGAGGATGCGGTCCAGTGCACGATCATTGCTATCTTGATCGCCTCTGTGACATAACTGTACCCCATCGCGCTGCCCTTAAGCTCCGCCTCTGATCAGCAAAAAGACGTGCCAAAGTCAAATCACGCCCTCATGCTCCTCGAGTCCGTCACAACCGATCTCTATTTTGGAGCGGCAGTCAGATGCCTGGCCTCCGCTCATGGAAGGGAAATACGGTAAGATAGTAAACACCTCAGATAGGATGGGGTATTTAGGGGTGTGGGCCTCAGACATAGTGGGCGTGGCAGCGGACGGACGACACCAAGATCTAAGCTTGCGATTCGGCAATTAGCGTTCATGGCAGAACGGCCAGTTCGGGCCGTTTCTTCCCAAAATCGTAATTTCAAAGTTATGCTTAGCAAGGCTGTGCAAAGCTGCATACCGTCTCCAAGTAGAACTATCTGCAATTGGAGAAGGCCAGGGAATCTCTGTGTTGAGAGGAATAGCCGCCGCTCAGGACAGATTGCTAGAGCAGGCTATCACGACAGCTGCAGATAGTATTGGAAAGTCCCACTACATTGTCTTCTCTGGTAGTGGCAACACTGGCCTCCAGTTTAGACACAATCCTGGTGCCATATCCGGAAATGCTTTCGGACGTAGCAGCTGAAGGTGGTGGAAGCAGACACAGGAATGGTGTCACTATAGAGGTAACTGTGCCTTGTTTGCCTCACAAGCAATGGCAGTGATTAATTAGAATGATACTTCAGGTCACTGCCCTTACCGATTTAATGCTACCAACCGTTTCATGTGCTTCTTTCCATCCCGATTTAGCTTAGGTCTTGCTAACTTGTTGTTTGTCTCCGTCTTGTGCTTCCTCAACAAACGGCTAGATGCAGAGACGCAACGTAGGCTTAAAATTCGTCGGCTGTATGATATCTCATTACGCTGGCTCCTATTCTAAATAATCTGAATATATATACAAGAACGGCTTTCAATTAATCCGTATTGTTCGTCCAACTGACTCGCATGACCCTTCTGAGTAACCAGCGTACGAGACCATCAATGTCAAGGTATGTTTGCTACCTAAGCTGAGCCACCGTGATATTTATCTTAGAGAAGCAGCTTCCGCGATCTAGTCAACCATTGCGTTGCCGAGCTCTCCACTGGGCACGAACGCTATACCATCTGCACCGACGAATCAGAACAAGACGCCCCGGAGGTCATCGTTGTCGTTATCCACAATCAGCGGAACAGCTGCTTCCACATAGCACTCACGTGCGCAAATTCCGAAGTCTATCTAATCAGGCTCTAAATTTTACAGCCCGTACTTAATACATTCGCGCTACTGGAGCCTTGAAATCTGTCTCGGACGTGGTTGACGAGCTTTATGGAAATTCTGACTTTGCAACAACCCCCGAATAGATCCTTGGTGGACTGGGCATAGAACTTTTAGGCTTACGACCGCGTTTACCTTTGCCTTTACTTGCAACAGCCCTTTCCTTCTCCGCTCGCTTTATCCGCGCTGCCTCGAGGTCTTCAAAGCTCATCACCTTCGCCTTCCCTAGGACTTCAGACTTGATCGAACGACGAACCTTCTCGCCATTAACCTTCGACAGGAGCCGATTATGGTCTTGGAGAAGAGCTTGTCTGGCAAAGGACCTCTGAGCAGCGCTTGCTAGCTTCTGGACGCGCCTTTCAAGACGTTGCTTATCAGGCTTGGGCTCACTAAAGGCAGAGGTGTCTTGTTTGATCAGTTCGTGCAGCGATGTCAGTGCTTCTGTCGTAACTGGAGTTACAGGCGTTACAAGCTGTTCAGGTGGATCCATCCGTAAAAGAGATCCCTGTGGACGGGTTTGTACAGTCAGTTCAACCGGCGGCTTTGGCGTATCTCTGAGTACTCTTTCTGGGTTAAAGGGAAAGAGACCAGCTTTGGCCCAGCCGGCGAGGATGTTCCTCTTAGAGATTGCCTTTTCCCTCGCAGGACTATATAGAGCGGTAAAGTGCTCTTTTCCAATTGTAACTATACCTCCTCGATCAAGCCTTTCTACCTGATCACGATAGGCTGCCTTCAAAGGCGCGAAAACTCCAACATCGCAAGGTTGAAGTTTGTGGGATGTGTGGGATGGGAGACGACATAAGGTGGTCTTGTTTTCAAAGCAGAATTCTAGGACTTCAAGTGTTTCGTGTGTCCCGAAGCCATCACAGATTAATATACGCGGTCGGTGGTTAGCCCTTTCTCTGGTTTGAGAATCGAATACACGCTTCAGCCACTCCAAGCTGATTTTGGAGTCATTGTACCCATTTTCTGAGTGGGCAAAGTGCCAACCAGGAGTTTCATAGGTCGTCCAGTTGCTCCGATGGGTTGAGGCAGGCCAAATAATGAGTGGAAGGAGCGACCTACCGTCGGCACTCACACATTCAATGGCAGTGACCATGGTTCGTTTTACACCAGCACCGCGGTGGTCCCGAAAATCGTCCTTACCTATAAGCACTTTCACGGAGCCTAGCATATCAAGCATAACGCCTGTTTCATCCATATTATAGACATTCTCTGGCTGGACAGCCGGATCATGGATTACGCCTCGTATCAGTGTAAACCAATCGACCATTTTTGGGTATATATTGTTCCCATGGCGTTTCCAGTAGATCGATCTAACCTTCCTGGCTCTAAGTTCAGGATGGCGCTTCTCAAAGGCTCGTGCCCAGTTCTTGCCCGGGGGCTTCGTGGGTCTTCTAGTGTACGGCTGTAGGGAGTCGGATCGCTGACGAGCGATACTGAACGCTAGCGAAGGTATGTACGTAATCCGCACTGGCTATCCGAAATCAGACATTAGCAATAGAAACGCTACAAGGGCTTTCTCCTCATCTGGTGTGAGGTATCGCTGGAGTTGCGCCTTGGCTTCTCTCGACATCCTATCATTGTCACGATGCCACACGGAAGTCAAAGGTACTCCACCCTGCTCTGCAATAGCGGCGTATGTGCGGGGAACACCTTCAGGGAGAGCTCGCGCAAGTGCCTGGCTGGCTCGATCCATTGTACAATGATGCTGCAATCACAACCCTTTTGGAATAAGACAGGAAGGGGACAGCTGTCGACAATGGCTAGACGACGCTTGACCCGAAACGACCATCACGTGAACTCCCCATTCGGATTAATTAAGTGTGAGCTATCTGCGAATGAGATGAGAGATCAATTACTTAAGTTGATTCTAAGGTTCTAAAGAGTCTATTCCGAGAAAATCTATTTATTTGAATGGTTACTGGGTTGGCCGTGTTGTCTGGATTTCCGCTACAGAAAGGTCCAATCCTCAAGCCAAAAGTGGCGTAGCTGTAATTCATCGCTGCTGATATCGGTCAGACGTGCATGTCAAAACATAACCAGCTGAGCTCGAGCCTTACGCGCAGAATGACTCGGACTTATGCTTGCTCTCATCTCTGGGGCAATTTTATGTGATGTAATTAATTCACTAACGCTACTACGATCGTCCGCTAGGACAACAACAAAGGCTCTTACCCTACTTCTAAACTGAGCAGGGTAAAAGTACCTGAAGTATATTTGCACCATTCTTGTGTGCAATAAGGACAACAGAGTGCTGGTAGGCTGAGGTTCTTGCCTCACCGGAAGGCGTGGCTGTGGGGGCTGTGCCAGCTTGACACCTTCGCGCGCGCTGCTTTGGCAAGCTGCCTTCACAGCCCACTACGGCCATTATAATCCTCTGACTACTTCGGCTGTCTATAGTTGCATTGCAGCTATCTTGATTAAACTAAGGAAACCCATACTTGTCTTTTGCGTTTTTCTTTGCTCTCAAACAAGATTGTCGTCATGCGACTTCTCCATCTCGAAGCTTCTGGGAGACCTGTCTTGACAAATTTCCACGGGAAGCCTATCCCGCCATATGCCATCCTTTCGCATAGATGGGGCGATTCGGAGCTTCTCTTTGAGGACCTAGGGAGCGAAGCCTATAAAGAGAAGAAGGATGGTGTTCGGAAGCTGAAGTTTTGCGCTAAACAGGCGGCTGAAGACAACCTCCAGTACTTCTGGATCGACACATGCTGCATCGATAAATGGAACAATCGTGAGCGCTCAAGAGCGATTAATTCGATGTTTCGTTGGTACAGAAATGCGACAAGATGCTACGTGTTCTTATCGGATGTTTTAGTACCTACTGCGACAGACACATATCAATGTAACGAGTGGGAGGCAAGCTTCCGAGCGAGCGAATGGTTCACTCGAGGCTGGACACTTCAGGAGCTGATTGCGCCAGTATCAGTTGAGTTTTTCACCCGCGAAGGATGGCGCCTCGGCAATAAAGCATCGCTTGAACAGCTGGTGCATGAGATTACCGGTATTCCGCTTGCAGCATTGCGCGATTGTCCCTTGGACCAATTTACCACATCTGAGCGGATGACATGGGCCAATAATCGCCAAACGACTGAGGAAGAAGATAGTGTATACTGCCTTCTTGGAATTCTAGATGTCGCTATGCCAGTCTCCTATCGCGAGGGAAGAGAGAATGCGCTCAGACGACTCTACATTGAAATAGAAGCAACTAGTAGCGCACCATCCATTATTCCGTTCTCCCAAAACGACCATTTTGTGGGGCGAGAGTCACAGCTTGCTGAGCTAGAGGCAAAGCTCTTCGGTGACAAGCGTACCGCTACCACGTTGGCGATTATAGGACCTGGAGGAACAGGCAAGTCACAGCTAGCCCTTGAACTTGCGTACAGAACGAGACAAAAGAACAAGAATTGTTTGGTCTTTTGGATTGATGCAAACAACGTAGACAGTCTTGATCAGTCGTATGCAAGTATTGCCCAGAAGCTTGACATTCCTGGCTGGGCCGATGAGAAGGTGCACGTTAAGCAGCTTGTTAAGCGTCGTCTAGAAAGAGAGCGAGTAAGACAATGTCTGCTCATCTTTGACAACGCAGAAGACATAAGCCGAGGGTCTAGTGGACTATCAGTGGCACGAGAGGTTAATTTGGCCGACTACCTACCTCAATCTGACCTCTGCTCTGTCGTCCTCACAGCAACTGACATCAACACTGCGATGCGGGTTGCAGTGCAGAACGTTGTGGAGCTACAGGAACTGGCCCCCGACACGGCCAAAAGGATGTTAGAAAACTACTTAGACATTCCGATTTCTGCAAGCGAGCAGCAGCAGCTGTTACAAGAGCTATCATATCTTCCGCTAGCAATTATCCAAGCAGCAGCCTATATCAACACTACAGGTGTGACGCTTCAGCAGTACCAATTACTCTTAGAGAGGCAGAACGAACACACTCCTGGGCATAGTAGCAAACCGTCCGAGGACAAAGAACAAGAGCGTACTACAAAGAACCCTGTGGCTACTACACTGTTCATCTCCATAGACGAGATCCAACGTAGTAACACACTTGCAGCAGACTATCTGTTCCTTACCGCCTGCGTCGCCCAAAAGGACATTCCGCTTGACCTTCTAGCGGCAAACCAGCCTGGGGAGAGGGAAAGTGCGGTCAACATCATTAGCAGGTATGCTCTTATTACTAGGCGGCCTGCAGATTCTGCACTTGATGTTCACCGATTAGTGCATCGCGCTTTGCGAGAGTGGCTCCAGCAGCAGAAGCAGCTAGGCCAATGGACCCAGTATGCTATTACACAGCTATATCGAGTGTTCCCAGACAATGATCATCAGAATAGAAGCAAGTGGAGACGGTTGCTTCCACATGCCAAGCATGCTCTGTCATACAGTTGCGCTGGGCTTGACGGTGGAGACAGATCGAATCTCTTATGGAAATATGCCATGACGCTCTTTAGTGATGGACAATACAACGAGGCCGAGCAACTGTTTGTGCAAGTGATGGAGATGAGAAAGAGGCTGCTTGGAGAGGAGCATCCAGACACCTTGACCAGCGTAACCAACCTGGCTTTAACATATTCGAATCAAGGGCGGTGGAAGAAGGCGGAAGAGCTGGATGTGCAAGTGATGGAGACGAGTAAGAGGGTGCTCGGAGAGGAGCATCCAGACACGCTGACCAGCATGGCCAACCTGGCTTCAAC